AATTCACAAAGCAGGTGTTCAGTTGAGAGCCAGGGCACAGAATGGCCAGGACAGTCTGCCTAGAATGGTACTGGAACGTAGTGTTTCAACCGGACCACAGTGTCAATTTCCCAGAACAACTTTGAGGACAGAGGCTATCTCGTGGCTGGGACAATACATGCTGTATTTATGTGTGGAGATGATGAAATAGAGTTAGAAGGATTTGCAGGCTATCAGCCACACTAAAAAAATCTTGTTTCAAAAGCCTCATAGGCATCTTCCTTTTTTTTTTTTTGCTGTCACATCCATCCAACTATCTGTCTGTCCATCCACGTGCTGACACTTACTGAGAGTCTACTATGGGGCAGACACTGCTGGGCACTGGGAATATCTAAAGGAGCTCCTGTCCCCTCAGAGCTCCTGTGAATTACAGACACACAGACAGGGGCTTTAACAGAGATGTACCGGGTGTCATGGAAGCAAGCAGAAAAGGCAAGTCATTTGGTATGGACGTGAAGAAAGCTGTGCAGAGGAGGTGATGTCTGGGTTGGGCTTTGAAGGATTCCGAGGCAGACAGTGAAGCTGAGAAGAGTGACTCACGTCAGAGGGACCTCTCAGCGTGAGGGCTGGGGGCGGTCAGACAGAAATCACGTCCGATCGTGTCACTCTCCCACACGAGCCCCTCAGTGACTCCCCACCTCACTAACAGTGGACGCGAACGTCCTCACAGTGACCTAGGAAGGCCCTGCCTGACCTCCCCAGGGGCCTCTCAGACCTCCCACTCCTCGCCTCTAGCCACACTGGCCTCCTTGCTGTTTTCAGGGTCTTGTTCCCTTCAGGTCGTCTGTCACCCTCCCAGTGAGGTCTCCTTGTCAGGTCCTCCCTTGCCACTCTCCTCCCTGTTCCCCTTTCACTTTTCTCCCTACCCATTACCACCAGCCAGTACCGAGCGGGGTTTGCTTCTTATCTTTGTTTATTGTCTGTCTCTTCCGAGAAGAATAAACGCTCGCGAGGGCATAAGTTTTTGTCTGCTGGTTCAGTGCTGTATTCCTGGTGCTTGCACAGTATCTGGCATACAGCAGGTGCTCAATAAATATTGGTGAAATGACTCAAGGAGCCCCCCCCGCCCCCCCCCCTCCTGGAAAGAGTTATTAAGGACTATGCAAACTAAGGCTTCTGGAGTTTATCTGGAAGGTGCAGGGAAGCCACAGACGTTTTTAACTAGGAGAGTAAGATAGCTGGGTCTCTGTTTTCTGGGATAACAACCCTGGTGGTGACAGTGATAGAATGGGTGAGGGGGGAGCAGAAGCCGAAGCAGGAAGTGTGGGAGGTCTGAAGGTGCCTGACTCTGACTGCAGGCATCAACCCCAGAGAACTCCTGTCACGTGAGTGTTGTCACTTCTCACACACAACAGTCCATCGGTACAAAATCCGTTCTAATCTTGATGCAAAGAATGGTTCTGCACCTCGGCTCGCAGAAAAGCAAGCTAGACTGCTAGGCCTAGAATGTGTTCAAGTCAGGCTGCTCCCAGGGCATCTGTAAAGTGGAGCTGTTCTCTGGAACGGCATGCATCTCTGTGACACCTCTTGGAAGCAACCTTTGTCTGGGAGGGCGTGGTGCGTGCGACTCCTTTCCCCATGCACCACACCCTCCTTTCTGCAGGCTCCTTTCTGCATTTCAGTGTTTTTTTCTTTGGCTCTAAGGCTGTCATTCAATTTGAGATTGTCCTTCTTCCCTTCCTTTTAATCCACTCCTTCCTTTTAATCCACTCCTCTTACAGCACTCGCTAACTAACCAGCCGACCCATGTTTCATTGTCTTCTCAACCCTTCTGCTCTTCATGTGGTCACACCTCACATACTCCACTCTAAGCTCCTTCTCTGATTCTTACTTCTGGAATTCCTTTCATGCTGGGCAGAAATGCTTGGAAAGCTTTATGAACCCGTGGATAAGTCATCTCCCTTCCCTTGACCTCCATCCTCATCTACCAGCCAAAGTCCCTTTCCTCTGTGTGAAGGTGACAGAAGGTCATGCTCAGGTATGAATGAATTCAGAAAAATACCGCCACCTACTGTTCTTGAAAAAAGAATTACTTAAAAATGTACTCTAGCCAACTGAGAAATTTCTTGCATGGAGATGTCAGAATGGAAGGCATGAGGGACGGGGCCTGGGAGTCTGTCCCGGCGTACCCCCAAGAGGCACAAGGATTCAGCGCAGCAGAGAAGTAATGCCTGGGCACACACTGACTGACTTGGCCACACCAAAAGGGAGAGGGTGGAGTGGAAGGGCCTTTCACAGTGACGTCTGGATGACGCTTAATGACACTGTGCCTTAGGAACTGGTATCCTTCATTACGGTATTAATCCTGTAATTGGAACTCCTCCGTAAAAGCCCTCCCTCAAGAAGCGTTTACTGTGAGATCCAGAAGTCCAATTAAATAGGATTATAACTATGTTAAAAGACAAAAACAGGAAAGACCCATGGCTAGGAACAGGCCTGGGAACCATTTTCTGTGGCTATTTGTGGCTGAGGAGCTGCTCCTGTCGCTCGCCCACTGACACAGCGCCCTGGCCGCTGCGGCGGACCTGCCAGGCCCCAGAGCCTCCCTGTGGCAGCGCACCAGGCCCCCACGACAACGACAATGGGCTCTGGCCAGCCTTCCCAGCTCATGCCCAGGCTTCACGTCACGGCCCTCAGATTCCTTCTCCTGCAGCTCCTTGAAGAGGCTCTGTCCTCCTCGGCCCTGGTGCCTTCCCATATGCCCGTCCATATCCAGGACATTCTTCCCTCTTCCTTGACTTGAGGAAGAAGCCCTGCCTGCCTCTTCCATGAAGCTTCCCAGAAACAACCCGTCCTGTTACCCTCGGAGAAGCAGAGCAGCCCTCCCAGCCCCCTGGCACGTCAGCAGCTGCTCACGGTATGTAACTACATGTAGGCAAGTGGACCTCGTTCTCACTGAGAACTCCTCTGCCACCCTCACTGGATTCTGCGGGAAAGGCCCTCTGTAGATAGCTGAATCACGTGTTCCTGATCCCATTATCAGAATTAAGAGTCGAGGCCCACAGGGGGTAAATTCAAGTAATTCATCCCATGAGGCTGATTCCCTCTAATAATAAATAAGTATCAGAAAAGACTGATTTCTTCCTGGACTTGATGCATATTTTATCTATCTGACTGTAAATTCCATGAGTGCAGGGATTAAATTTATTTATTTGCTCATTGTTCTACAGCCCCAGCAACCAAAACAGCGCCTTGCTCCAGGAAGGTTTTAATCTGTTTCCTCAGAGTGTGAATGTCTTATTTGTACTCACTTCCCAGGTAGAGCAAAATGCCCGGCACAGTTCACACTCAACGGACACTATGCTGAATGAATCCTAGTCTGAGTTATAAAATGAGGCCATTTTCTTTATGCTAAATCCAAAATCGGGAAAAGCCTCTCCCTCAGAAGCACACACCTGCCTGCCTTCTCTGGGGCCCCAACCCCTGCCCCTTTGTCTGGGTTTATGTGTGCAACCCTGAGGAACAAAAAGTGGCTTTGTGTCACTGAAAGGAAAGCCTTTAGAGAAACGCAAAACAACATTAACCTTTTCCCCTCCGGGGCATTCAACACACTGGCTGACTGTAAACCTGGGGCATTCAGGGAGAAATTCGTTCAAAATTCAGGCAAAAAAAAAAAAAGGTGCCTTCCTATCTTCAAAATCCCAAGACCTGCACATTTCCCCCCCTCAAGAAGCAACTCAAAAATGCCCACGCTGCACTCCAGGCCCCTCTTGGGCAGCCCTTTCTGCCACGCTGGTTGGCTCCTTGCAGAGCGTCTGCCCCCTCCGCATGCGGGGGGCAGCCACCACCTCTGCCTCCGTAAAACTGACTGCCACCTGCGTTGGAGACGCCCCGCGCTGGCGCTTCAGAGACAGGGCATTTTGTTCATTTTGTCTCTGTGCCAACCTGCCTCTGCTAGGAGTCTCAAGGCCGCGGCAACCTGAAAAGAGATCCTCTCTACTTCTCTGCATTCTCTGAAAATGACCAGAAATAATCATAAAAAACGAACAAAGGGATTACAAATTAATCTGCCCTCGCCGTCTCCTCTGACTGCCAAGATAGAATTACAAACCCAGGATTTGCAAGAGACCTCAATTCCTCATCAATCTCCACTATCGTTTCCATCATGGCTTTTTTTTTTTTTTTTTTTTTTTTAAGCTCCTTTCTTAGGCAGGGAATGAGGGGGAGCTACGTTCTTTCTTCACTCAACAGTAACTGAAAAATATGTCCTTAACATTTCAGAAAGCAGATCATCCATGTGCTAGAATATAACCACTAAAGCGTGGAGGTGAAATGGCACGAGTGTCCTTTACGTCAGCATCTGCTGAAATTAATGAATTAAAGGGTGGACAACCTAAATCTGTGGCTTCTTTGAAAAGCATGAATCCGATAGTCCAGAAATTTTGCAGGGCCCAAGACTCTCCAATTTCTTTACTTTACGCTTGCTTTCGTAGGGCATATTTTGACTGTTTGGATGGGCAGGGTGGCCTCAAAACTGTGTTTCGAATGTGCCTCTGCTCTCTCTGGCCATCTGGAGCTGGGGCCTGCAGATAGAGCAGGTCCTGGCATTTTCCTGCCAGGTTCACTCCATGGGTCAATGCTACAGTGTAATCAAAAAGCAGTGGGAGCTTTTCTCCTTCTCCGTCCTGGAAGTGCCCGCAAACTATTTGGGTGAGGCTGTGCCAGCACCACCGCTCCTCCTGGAGCCACGCGCTCTGACCAAGAGGGCACAGACTGCACGACCTGGGGGGCACCGAAGCGCTCATCCTAGCTGCTGTTTACACGAATCCCGCACACCATGCACGGCAGCTGCTTGTCTATGTGATGTCCACGGTGGCTCCCAGTCCTGCTCTTCCCTGGCTAAATACCTGTATATGTTCCTCAAACTCATGCTTGGCAGAAAGTTGAGGGTGGGGCTCAGAAGGCAAAGTGTGAAGAGAGCATCCAATCAGAGGCCTGTCTCTGCTAGGTACCGCTCTTACCTGGGTATGGCACTCTTCCTTTGGTGACCAGCTCTGTGAGTAAGATTCCAAAAGACCACACGTCAGACTTGATCGTGAACCTCCCATACAGGGCTGCTTCGGGAGCCGTCCACTTAATGGGGAACTTTGCACCTGCAGAAAGAACACGCGGTGACTCGGCAGGCAGGGAGCATGGTGCCGGGTGTGGGGCTGGGGGGTAGTGCTAGGAAGCCACTTTCACAGCAGCAAGGTCGCAGAAGAGGATGGGAAGGCGGTGAGCAAGAATGGACTACAACTGAGCAGCTGTGGGATCTGGTCCTGGCTCTGTGACCTTAAGCAAGCTAGTCTAATTTATTTTTCCCATCAAAAGGTTGGTGTTCAAAGCCCCTTAAAGCCCTGGCTTCTAGAACTTGAATCTGTGACCACACTGAATGTCACAGGGTTGGTCTGGATGTGGGGGTGACCTGTGATTTAGGAAACTAATTTTGTATATTTTTTCCTTTGCTTTGAAATGATGTCATATTCTAATTCATACATACAGTATGAAATCATAGGGCTACTCTCATGAATTCTTTGGCATAGAAGACTATAGTGTGCTCTTGCGAGGTACACCGAAACCATATCCAACCACCATGCTTCTCCCAAGGTGAAGACAATTTGCTGCAGCCCATGTATTTTGTAGAAATGGGCTCTATTTCCTAAGGCCTCCAAAACCCACAGCAGAGAAATGATTTTGCCTCTGGCTACTTCCCTCCACCTTTCCCCCCATCACTGATAGTGGCCATCTTTATTCCTGGGACAGCTTTTTCTTCTGTACTCTATGATTCCTTGTTTACCTCCCTACCTTTCTCCCACCCACCAGAGAGCATACTATTTACTGGTTTTTATTTTTTTAATTAAAAAAAAATTTTTTTTTTTTAAAGATTTTATTTGTTTGACAGACAGAGGCACAGCGAGAGAGGGAACACAAGCAGGGGGAGCGGGAGAGGGAGAAGCAGGCTCCCAAGGAGCAGGGAGCCCGATGCGGGGCTCGATCCCAGGACCTGGGATCATGACCTGAGCTGAAGGCAGATGCCTAATGACTGAGCCACCCAGGCGCCCCTACTCTTTGTTTTTTAAAGAGTAGTCTGCCTCAATGACTATCTTATGAGTCTGATTTCTCAAGACCAAGCAACAAATTCATGCCCAGGTCAGTAGAATCTTTTCTTTGAAATTTCTCAGATCATTAAAAGAATCCTCTCTCCAATCCAAAAGGAAGGGGGGCATCCATCCTGCTCTTCATAAGGCTAGATATGTGTACAGGGAATTAAAATTGATTCAGCAGCCTGTGCTCTCATATATTAAGCTCAGCAATTATAAAGCAGTTCCAGAAATTTCATTGAACAAACTAAAAGAAAAACACAGGAATTTTTATTACTGATGTAAACACAATTATATGTTTAAAGTACGTTAATTTTACTTAGGATCTCCTAAAAAAAAATCATACAAAGGCTGACAGAATCAGAAATTTTCATAGTATCCTCTACGAAAAGTCACAATATGCGAGAGTGGCAAATAATTAAAATCTTTAAATTAGCATGGTTTTAATAATGAGAGGTATGATAAATTACAGCAATTAGATTTTTGTTTTAAACACAGTACATGATAACGTCTTTAGCAAATCTACCCTGGCATTTTCTGGCAATATAATTTTCCTCTCCATCTCTTTTATGCCAGTGTGAAATGAAATTTAAAAAATCCTATTTCATTATGAGGCATCTTACATTTACACTGGAGCAGAAAAGTTATTCTATAGTTTTCTTTTCCTTTTATGCACTGAGTTATTTTTAATTAGCTGTGTTTCTCAAGCATAATTATTTCTATCTTTTCTTAAGTGCTGCATGATTCCACACAAGGCCTGGTATTCTCCGAACAGTCGTTTTGTTTTTAAAGTTTCTTTCAAAGCGTTCTGCTGTGTGAGAACCTACCCTCGAGCATTCTGTTCACGCAGCTTTGGACTCTGAGCCGCTGGGATTAACGTGATAGATTTTCTTCAGTGTTGAGAACAGACTTTGCCCTGGACCAGACCTCAGCTGGAGTTCTCTTATTTCAGAGAATTAAAGGTATATTAAATTCATTCTTATTTAAACTATCTCTTGAGCCAAATGGCTTGGAAATCTATGTCCATCTCGAAAGCAAAAAGAACTTTCTTTTCTCCCCTGTGTAGACACAAATCCTGTAAACAAAATGACAAGCAAAAGGAGCCTTTCTTCCCTTCTTGGAATCATTCAACATTTGTGAAGGTGTGTGTTGCTGAAAGTAAACTGTTCAAAATTTGGATAAAGTCATTTTGGATTTTCTGAGAGAAGATTTCATAATTTGAGGTTAACAAAAACCCAAACAAATGTCAATATATCAGCCCGTTGTGGTAGATGGCTTCATTGTTTTTTCCTTACGTCATCTACAACAAAAATTACAATATGTAAACCTTCAACAGATAAATTCAAACAAAGGCTGTAATGGATCTCTGATAGGAAACCATTTGTGGATATGTGCTTTGAGACTTATTAGCAGGAGCTTTTGTAAATAAATATTTTGCATTAGTTTTCTTTCTAAGATAAGCAATATATTTACACCTAATGCATTTTGGAAGAAAAAAAATAAAGGATGTCTTTGTCCAATTTCTCCTACTTCTTTTCAGTCTTAAAATAGCAGGCACTGTTGACAAAAAAAGCTTCTTTAAAGATAACTCATGTTTTCCTTTTCAAGGCAGAAAAAAGGTTAATAAATTAAAGCAGCGATAATCTGTTAATCATTAACTACAGTTTCAACAAAAGAACTGATGGGTGTCCACTCTTTTATTCATCTCATTACCTCTACTTCCCCTCGCCATGGTTTCCCACCTCCTGGGGGCACAGAAGCAGCTCCAAACAGTGTGTAGTGGGGGTGGGGGGAGGTGTCTCTGTCCAGGGCCAGGCAGGTTGCACATTGCAAACCCCAGTCTATGAGAACAGCACCCCCAGGGCTGTCTGGAATACCACCTACACAACCCCACAGGTGGCCCTGCGGGGGGTTGCAGTGAAGTCAAGAAAGCTCAAGAAACCTGCAAGAAAGGATCTCTTTCCCTCGAAAATAAAGTTCCGCCCCCTCATATTTTTTTGAAGATATCATGACAGGCAGTAAGTCAGGATCAAAGTTGTCTCCTAAGCAGTATGGATTTGTAGAAAAAAGAAGACAGCATCCAGAGGCCTGTATTACAATGAACTTGGCCTTACTGTGTAACCAGCTGATTTGCTCTTCTTGAAATTCTCCTGTTTGGGAGCAGGATTCAGACGCCAATGCCATTTCCTCTCCTTTGCATTTTATCAGAGGAAACGTAGCCAACTGCAGGTAGGATAATCTGTGTCACTGGTATCATGGGCTTTAGAGGCCACAGTAACTCAGTGAACTTGTTCAATGTTTAGCTGAACCAAAAAATAAAGGAATTATCATCACTCTAGTGTTTATTTCTGACTGAATTACTTTAACAGTCTAGGATTCTTTGAGGCCAATAGACAAAGGCCATACATGATATATATGTATTTAATGCATCGGACTTGAAACATCTTTTCCACTGTTTTCCAAGCAGCGTTTGCAGATTTTGTATCTCCCAGGGTAAAGCTCTTGCTGAAAGCCTGACTTGGTGCTGTCACCGAGGCCCAGGTCCTGGAACCACCATGGGACTTGCGTCATTTACCTTTCTGTAATCCTAGTGAGGACCAGCGAGCCTGAGGCCAAGCCATTTTCTGTGGCGAGTAAACATGCCAGTGTTACAAGTAATAAATTGTCACCGACATTTCCATCCTGTTTCTCTAGATTCTGTTGAGATTGAACTGAGTGGTCATGAGCTCTGTGTCACGACGGGGGATTTTTGTACTCCCTCTCTTGGCTTCAACCACTCTCCTGACTCCTGTGTCACCTGTGTTTGGATCACCCGATGGGCTCTCCCTCCTGAATTCCTGATCTGTACAATGGATTCTCTCCTCAGCGTCTCCGCTGGGAGGCATCAAAGGGCCTCTCGAACACAACATCCAAAATTGACCTTCCCCAGAATTCTGCTTCTTTTTCACCGTTCGTTGCCTTGTAAACTGCCCAGCTGATGAGACCAGAATGACGAGAATCCTCCTTATCTGGATGCTGCGTCTAACTGCCCATCGCCGCGCCCTCACAAGGCAGCACAGGGCCTGCCCAGGGAAGGAGCTCAGTCCATCTTCCCTGTGTCTTCTTCGGCCCCTGCTGCTTTATCACTCTCCAGGCTGAGTCCACTTCACTCCTGTGAATGTGTCTGGGCATCTTCACTACCCTCATTCCAGTCCTTACTCACTCCCTGTCCCCTGCCTGCACTCCTGCAAGGGCCTTCCAGCTGGGCCCATATGCACAGTCTGGTCCCTCCTCCCTACTGCTCCAGCCGCTTCCTGTTATCCTGGGCACCTCTCCATTGCCCTTCTCCGATGGTTCCCACCTGCTGGAGGGCCACGGGGCAGGCTGTTCCCTTTGCTGAAGTCCCAACCCCACGGCTAACTCCTGCTCCTTTGTTCTTAGCCTAAATGTTATTTGCACAGGGAGCCTTTGCTGGGACACAGAACCAACACAGGGGTTGGTTCCTAGCACTGTGCTGTCAGAGCCTCTTGTTCTTTGTGGCTACTACTATTCCAGGGCAGATGAATACATTAGTTGTTTGAAGCACGCCTCTCTCAAGAGATAGAGGCTGTTCTTGAGGGCAGGAGCATGTCTTTCTGGATGGCTACCTTATCTCCGGTACGGAGACCAGTGCCTGGTGCACAGAAGAAACTAGATAAAGACGTGTTGAATGATGGAGGAACGGGACAGCTGATTCGCCCTTCCAGCTTTCCTTTCCAGGCTGAACCACCACAGCTCCTCAGGAGGCTTGTTATTATTAGTTCCCTGCTCTCTGGCGGGTCCTCTCCTCGTCCTCAGTGACCAGTGTCACTGTCTGCCATCATCTGGATACCCTTGTAAGGGCCTCTCAACTGCTGAGACTGCAGTAGAAGAGCATCACCCCCATGACACTTAGAAACACCTGGAAAACCCTGTGTTCTTACTGCCAAATGAAGTGTGGGGTGAATCTGAGGCAGAAGGAGCCCCAGATTTTGCTCTGTGAGGAGTGGGGGCCC